GGCAAAGATAACAAAAACGATACTCACATCGTGCCTAATCATGCCTTGATACAGTGTGCAGATTCTTCGTTTCAAAATGAGACCAAACGGCTTCAGATAACCACAACTTAATAATTTGCAAAGTGTGCATATTGTAGTTCAAACTCGTCTTGGAAAGGTTCCTGTTGATGGTTCAACAATATATTGATGTCTAACCAAAGAAAATACCTAACAAAGTAGATTGCTGTTTTCAGGCTAAAACATCTCATCAGATATTTATTGAGTTATTTATTAACAGTAAAACCCACAATGATACACACCTCTAAAATATAATAAAAAAACATCATATAAAATATATATTAGGATCATTTAGCCTTCTGAAACCTTTCAAACTACTTCTTTAATAAAGCAGTGTTACCTACAAAGTAAACAGTGTAGAAATGTTTTTCTTCACCTCCATGAACCACAAACAGGGAATCCATGTTTAACACTCTCCTCTCGCCCCTGGCAAACAGCAAACTTAATCTAATTATGCGATTACACAACATTGGGCTCCTTCATGAAGCTCAATCTGCACTCCATATTATGCTCAAATGTATCTGAAACACTCCTTTGAAGGATTATCCTGAGACCCTCAGGATGAAATATATCGCAATTAGAAATGCTCCTAGTACGGCTGCTGGCATTAAAGGCATACCACGGTGCCATTCATTAAGTGCTGTATGCAGACATGGCGTCTTAGAGCAGCCTAGTGAAATTACAGGGGGAAAACTGGCAGCAAAGTCCATAACAGTCACAAATAACACCCTGCTGTGACAAGGGAAATTACACGTCTTTGGAATTGAAATGTTAATAGCGCGGTATAATTGTATCAGCGTGAGGAATGTGCAGTGCAAGTAATCGGATGCTTTCATGTTTTGATAAATGTGGTGGTGAGGTTTATTGTCAGTTTTTGGGATCTTTGAGATTTCTTGATGAAATGAGCAGATAGCTAATTTTCTACAATTGATTTATGATGACTTGGCTGTTGATGGAGGATTATGTGAACATTGGTTCATTAGGATAGCATTGAAAGACAAGGTAATCATGGAAACTAATATATGTTTTTTGCAAAACACGACACTGCAGACAAGGATATCAATTGTATTTAATCTGATAGGAGAGACGGCAGATGTAAAGTTTGGTTAACATTTTACATCTCCAGCTGGATTACAGTATAACCAGCCAATAATCACATCCAGACACCATTAATAAACTTGTGTCAGTATGCAGCAGGGGTCTGCATGTGTTTATATGGCTCAGTAGCTGCACTATATGAGTGGATCAGTATAAGCAGTTCCCACACCCTCTCAGGTGTCCTGTGCTCGGGACAGCCTGGCCTGCAGGTACACACAGAAAGGCTGCCTTTGTCTGCATCAGGGAACAGGTAACCATTTGTGTGTGTGTGTGTGTGTGTGTGTGTGTGTGTGTGTGTGTGTGTGTGTGTGTGTGTGTGTGTGTGTGTGTGTGTGTGTGTGTGTGTGTGTGTGTGTGTGTACATGGATGAAAACGTATGTGTGTGAGAGAGATAGGATTGACTGCCGTTGCCACAGGAGCAGGTGTGGCTTTTCAACAGCCTCATATTCACAGCATACAACCCAAATGCGCTCGATAAAGAAAAGAAAGGTAAATTATTATTTCAAGTCTGTGAATCTCCAATCTTGATAAACAAAGTTATACTGCCAAGAAAAACCTTGAAGTATGCCGTCATAAGAGATGCTTCTAAGTTCATGTAAAGTACAAGTGTACACTTTAATTTGATGCTACTTACTATGGTGTAAAATATACGGATATCATAAAGATTTACGATGTGTCAGGATGAGTAGAGTTAAACACTAGTTACAAAAACATTTTTACATTCACCTAGTGCGACATTCTCTTGCCCCACATTGCACACTTTACAGTTACAGTACAAATTGGTCGTATTGTCCCAAAATGCAACACACAAAAATAATGGTAGAGTTGCTCACAGAGAAGAAAAACAGAGTGTTACTACTGCTTTTAGCAACAGCTTACAAATAAATAAATAATTTTTGTTTACTATTTGTGAAGATTCAAATTTGAACACGGACTAGATTTTTAAAGAGCTCAGAAATGTGGGAATGTGAACATCTACTGCAAGTCAGATCAACAACTTGTGATATGACAAAAACTCCCTAAAAGCTGCTGAGTGTAATGTGTTTTTATCGAATGATGTTCACAAGGTCAAGAATGAACTGCTGTGATGTATGGCATGGGGGCAAACATAGCTACCTTTTCTAAGCTAATGTGGCTAAGCTTACCTATTGTGCTGTGAATCCAGTCTACAACTTTCTGGAGGGACTACAAATAACCTCTTCTACATAAAAGGGGGAGTGGCTAAATGACAGCTGTGTGCCTTTGTGTGTGAGTGATTGTCTGTACCCTTTTAACAAAACAAAAAAAAACAGATACACAGTTAAAACCTGACATTCAGACCGGATATCAACTTTAAAAAAAGCTATTGTGGCTTTGCTATTGAGGCTAATTCATAGGCTAAATGCTACAATTGATAGCTTACTGCTCCAGGAAAACACAATGGTTGAGGAAGACTCGGGCCTGCAAAACATAGAATTTGTTTGACATATAAATTAACAATATTATCAACTAAAACGTTTTTTGTGAAGTGTCGCTTTTTACTGCACTTGAAGTATTTCAAAGTTAAGGATTATCTTTTCAGGAAGCAGGAGGGTGGGGTGTGTGTGTGTGTGTGTGTGTGTGTGTGTGTGTGTGTGTGTGTGTGTGTGTGTGTGTGTGTATCTAGGTGTTAAGTACAGGGGCTGAATGCTATATGAGGTCTTTAATTAGAGCAGGAAGAAACAGATCAGGAGACGCTACACTAGACTTCAGTGTGTGTGCGTGTGTGTGCGTGTGTTTGCGTGTGTGTGTGTGACTGGGCAACTTCCTGCACGTTCCGGTAGTTTCATGGTCCGCCTTTCTATTTCCAGGAGTGTCTGCTCAGTTTGTGTGTTTAAACATCTTACATTTTATATATGATATTAATCACAAAACGAACTGAAGCCAATAGAGGAAGCCATTCCTCCACCAACTCCTTCAGTTAAAAATCAACCGGCTGTCTGAGTGGTTTATTTAACGAACACAACACTACTAACTGTTAATTATAACTGAACTTAATGTGTAACAGCATCACTGAGCCAAGTTGCCAACAGTAAAATGTGTCCAGTCCACCAAATGTGGTTAGTGTAAGAGGGTTTTGATGTTCAACCCTCCTTAACCATTTTGTCTATATCAGGGGTTTTCAAAGTGTGGGTAGGTGAGCCTCCCCTCAGAGAACATAAGAACAGCCGCGCCCCCCCTCCCAATTATTATTGCTGTTATTATTATTATTATTGTTGTTGTTGTTGCTATAATGCAGGGGTATTCAATTGCATTTCAAAGAGGTCCAGTAAGAGAAAATGTAATTAAATGCTCTGTTTTCGCTGTCTACCTTCCGCCATTTGAAATTACTCCGACTGTTTCTCTCCTCTTGTCTCGTCTCTGTGTGTGTGTGTTTGAATCCATCGTGCTGACTGCACCGATTTGATTGGCTGAGTAGCGTCACCTCCTTAAAACATTAAACAATAACTTTTTTAAACCTTTTTATTTTTATGTTTTAAACATATTGTATAAAACTCCCCCACTACTTGGACTATTCCTTGCACCCCTCTAGAATAAGCCTGAATGGTCTCAACCATATTGCATCAGTAACGTGCACTTGTTATTATAACAAGATCGCAAGGACACAGGTAGCGATCTGAAAATTTAGTGTTTTTCAGTTTGTGTTGTGGAACATGCGTGTCCGTGCATGAAAATATACCACACACCCAATTACAATTGCATGTTCAATTCACTACCCTGGAAGTTAATACAGTTGTTAAAGTTGGAACAGCCTGTGGACAGCCGTTCTTCCTTGCATGTCAGTCGCCGACACCTTCTTACAGAGGACAGGCACATCTAGCTGCAGCACGACCCGTATATTTCTGCACGCCGTGTTCTCAAGACATATATTTTTTAACATTTTCAACATGGTGGATAAATCCTTATATGCTCCCGGCAACACACTGAACGTCAACTTTGCCTCCTTATTACACTCACCCCTACTTTAGTGGGAACAATGAGTCTGCGTCTTTGATGCACACAGGAATAAACGCAGATCATACTCTGGCTGCAGCCTTTACCGGTACTTGCTTTTGATCAAAGTCAATGCGGAAAACCTGCACTCACACAGGTAGGTGGAGGTGAAGGGAATGAGCAGTTTTACAGCCTTTTTGGCGAGGTGGGGGAACTCGGTCTCCACAGACAGCCACAAGTGGGCAAGTGTCACTTTACTCCCCCAGGGGAGGCGCGCCTCACACTTTGAAAACCGCTGGTCTATATGAACTTTGAATCTTCAAAGCTGATGAAAGATGGCAATTAAAAACAATATTTTAAACCAATATTAAAATAGTAATCTCAGAAAGGTGTCTTCGATTTAGAGGCATTTACAAAATACATAGAGGTAATTAAAATCCAGTCTCCTCACCTACATAGCTGGTTTTAGTGAACAGGTCTTTCATTTATTCCAGGATTTGATTAATTTTTGCCTCAACTACTTATAATCTGTTTACTAGGAAATGAGTGTACTCCTAGAATAGCTTTAGTGTTTAAATAAGGCTGTATGTATAAGTGTTTATTTTATATATAAAAATAATTAAATCACAATTTTTTAAACCTACAGTATTAATGTAAAATGTTAAGGTTATTGTGACATCATTGTTTTTTTATATTCTTCAAAGGGTTGAATTTATTGCCATCAAGGAATACATTTAAAGAAATTTCATTGATTTCCTAAATATGCATTTAAATGAAGTATTAATAAATCAAACAAAACCATAATAAAGAGCCTGTGAAGTAGGGGCCTGTTGGAACAGACAAGCGTTTTTAGTAAAACACTGAACACTTATTTTCCCTCTCTTCTTTTGCAGCTCCCATGTGTTCGTTCAGCCATGCTTCCTGGGTATGGATTCTCACCTTTTCCTGACTTCCAACCTCACCTTCACGCTTTTCGCTGCAGAGGAGAGAGTCCCAGCATGTGGATCCCTGGCTCGGGGGAGTCCCAGGCTCTGAGCGAGGCCCAGGAGGACAGGACTTTGCTCCACCCGTGCCGCCACAAGCATGTAGCAGTGTGCCAGCAGGAGACATTGGCCTTTATTGAGCTAGAACCACCAGTGACTCCTAAACTAAACTGTCTTGGCTCTCCGAGGCCCCCTGCTATTCCAGAAGCACAATGCACTACACATGCCCGGCCCCTGAATTGTTTCAGACACACACTGAATGAACTGAATGACATGCAGAACCGCTGCCACAGGACAGACAATGAGCAGGAAACAATGCTGAATTTGAACTGTCACACATCTGCAGGTGACTGTGAGTTTGAATGTCTAAATGGCATCAGGACTTCTTTGCAGGATCAGACAGAAAAGCCTAATTCTGTCACAACAGTATGTCGTCCTCTCCACGCAGCTCTTAGCCTCGATCTGCCTTTCCCTTTGTCCTCTCTTTACACAAACACAGACCCCTGGGAATCTCAGTTACCTTGCTCTTCATCCTTACCTGAGGGTCCGGAGTGTCGAAGCCCAGGCTCCTGCCAGCCTCAGAGGAGGACGTCCCAGGGTTCACTGAAGGAGAAGTCTATGCGTGAGTGGGCAACGTTTTTTCACTATGGAGACACTTGAAAAAAAAGATCAGGCTTGAAGAATACTTCATACACACAACCATTATTTCAATATATATTATTCACCCCCCAGTTTAACCTTGAATTCTTTAAGAAAAACATTTTTTTCTCAAATACCTCCACACTGAACGAAGAATCCAAAAACAGAAAAATCTTGATGAATTTACTGGACTTTACCTGCACATGCATTTTTGCTAAAGCCTTTTGCGTAAATAGTCTCGCTTTCACAGGTGCACTGTGAGTTTGTCAGAACCCAAAGTGTTTAAAATAGTATGATTTTAGTGAAAATGCATATGTTTGGCAGTATTGTACCGTTAGGAGTGCAAAAAAAACTAAGTTTTCTTTAATAATTCAAGGTAAACACAGTGTGAGTAATCGATACAAAAATTGTCATTTTCAGAGACACTATAATAACTCTTGGTACCACTTTACAATAAGACTACCCTTATAAAGGGATTATGAATAGTTTGTAATTCATTTATTAATTAGGTTGTGAAAACTTTATAAAAATGATTTATAAAGACATGAGATA